AATTGTGATTAATCGCATCCAAAATAAAAGTTTTTGTTTACATAATATATGTATGTGTGCTGTGTATATTATGTATATATAAATACACACACATGCATGTATATATTTCAGAAGAATATGTTATTAAATATATATTTTTAAAATATAAATTATATGAATATAAATATAGATATGTAAATACATGTAAATATTTTCAAAATATATACTGTATATGTGTGTATTTATATATACATAGTAAATATACATAGTACACATACATATATTATGCAAACAGAAACGTTTATTTTGGATGCGATTAATCGCGATTAATCATTTGACAGCACTAATATATATATATATATATATCATGGCCACAAAAGAAGAATTTATTCTCATGAATTAATTAGTCTCCTAGTTTTAGTAAATCATGGCCACGTTGTATTGATTCGTTCCCTCATTTTTTTTTTTTTTTAACCGTGGTCACATAGTACTGATTTGTTTCCTCGTTTTAGTAAATCGTGGCCACCGTGTACTAATTCGTTCCCTTGTAACAAGTGTTTTTCCTTCCACAGCAAACTACAAATTAAGCTTTATTTTTGTTTTAGTCCTGGATGAGTCACTGCAGGAATACCTTCAGGCACACATTGTCCTTTCTCACAAACACATACGCTACTACTATAAACAGACAAAACACAACCATTCTTTGTCCCCTGCATGCATAAATACTATAGACTCCCTACAAATAAACTTACATTTGCCTCTGTGTCAGACACAAACATACACACAAACACTTCAGGCCACTAGTACCACAACAACAATACACATGGTGACTGCCTGCTGCTCTAAAAAGAAAGTTGCTGTTTCATTGCCAACCAAGACTTCATAGCCTCTCTGTCAACAACACATTTCTTATTTCACGGGAGATTAACGCATTTTCCATGAATAGGATATATTTTAGTGTGGCATTACTATTTTTTTAATGCAATAGACACAAAATCCCATGTTTTTATCATGAGGTCGATTAGATATGTTAAAAAATATTAATAAATATTACATAATATAACAGAAAATCCAAATTCCAAATATTACATAATATAAAATGTTAAAATACTTATTTTTCAAAATATGTTATTTTGACATAATTTGTTAAATATTTTGCACAGTTTTGACTTCAAATAATTGTAGTCAAAATTATTTTTTAGTCTTAACAGATTTTATCCACCAGAAACAAGTTTTAGTTTTGTCCTGCATTTTGTGTGCAACCCTGTTACTGTATGTATTCCCACATTACGAAAAAAGGTACATTTCCTAGTAAGTGACATTATTTGGACACTTTCAACATGGCAGCAAAAATAAATAATATAAAAAAAATATATAATTTATTTTTTCTAAATATTTACATGAATACTAGTGTTGACTGCGTTGATAAAGCTTAACTGTTCAACTGTTATTGTAAGAAAAAATGATCAAACAATTCGTATTTTTTATTTTATTTATTTGTCAAAAATGGATATCAATAACTACAAACCTACCTTTGATCCCAAACTAGATAGCTTCAACTGAGTGGTGGCTTAATTTTGGCAAAAAAAATTAAAACAGGGTTGAAACAATTTTAAACCTTATACTGTATAAATTAGCTAGAAAGTAAAACATATAATTTGACTGAAATTAACAATCAACATTTTCTGCAGGAAAGTGACTTTTTTTAGCAGTTCCATTACCCTATTTGTGTGCATTTACTTTCATGAGAAACAAGGTGTGATAATGAAATGCAGACACTTCATTTGTTGACACTTTTTTAGTTAACACATGTACACACGTACTTCCATTACCTACATCCTCAAACGGCCACATGTACTCTCATGCAGCAATAAAACCGAGGTCTGACATGTCCTGACTTCACTGACATGTCATTGACTTCTTGAAAAGCTTATCGTAGTACAGTGTAGCCCTACCTTCTCTCTCCACATACCTCTCTTTATCCTTTAACACCAAACTGATGCCGCAATGTAGCATTCGCTCCAGTCCCCACAAACATCCTGGCCTCAAGGGCACCTTCTTTTACGGTAGACTGTCGCCAAGCTGCCATTTGCCACCACTGGCCAAATATTACAAATGTTTCCACCACAGGCTATTTCAGACACATCAGTTCAGGAGCGTTTGTAAAGCCATCACATCGTTAACTCGTGTTCTGCACTTGTGGGGCACCCAGGTTTTACAAAGTTCACATCTCTGTGGACATGCGGCCCCACAGTCTATTAACCTCCACTAAACATTTATCCAGTGTTTCACAAATTTGAGATTTATGTTCTCCACTGGGCCATGGTAGAATATATCTCGACATGTGAAAGGGGAACTGAGGACGTTTGGTGTCTTCTGTTGTGTTGTGTGTTTGGATCATGGAATATTCCGCTGCTATGAAAACCGTATGAAAAACTTGTTTGAGGGTGTATCTGATCCCTTTGTGTAGGTTTGTGGGTTTGAGACGTATGGAATCTGATGTCTTTGAAGTTTCTCGAAAACCACCGTTAGGACGCCTAATCTAGGAATCAAGAACCGGTTTTATTCTGGGAACTGGTTCCTTTTTTTTTTGTATATGCAAAGGGAACACTGTGTTCTAAATACTCTTAAAACAAAGTCTTTAATTGGGTTACGATTCCAATATACTGTACATAGTTGGGGCAGACCCTACACAGTATTTTTATCCTGGATGAAGAAATTTATCATTTTTCTAAACCAACTTATTAACTGAAGAAATAGTTCATTCAAAATCTGTCATGTTTTACTTTACCAAAATTACCAACATTTTAGCGCAAAGCTATCATATGGGCTTTTTGCAACTTGATGGACATGGTCACTATGAACTGTTGTTGTATAAAATTGAGCTGCATGAACATTTTTATTTATTTATTTTTTCCTACACATAATAAATGATGCTGTATATTCTTAAAAATAAAGGTTCCATAAGGGGGTTGCCATAGAAGAGAGATTTTTGGTTCCCCAAATGAACCTTTCAGTGATCAACCATTGAACCATTTTTTTTTTCTTAGCCTGAAGAACATTTTAAAAATCTAAAGAACGTTTTTTCTTCTGTAAAGAACCTTTAATGGAATGGAACATTTCAATGGATGTTAAAGTTTCCTTATGGAACCATCGATGTTAAAAAATAACCTTTATTTTTAGGAGTGTACAGGTTTGAACCAACACAAGGGTGAGTAAATAATGTCAGAATTTTCATTTTGGGGTAAAGTACTCCTTAAAACTCTAAAAAGTTACCCACTGATGAAAGCTATTGTATTTTTGTCTCTGTATTGGTTGCAGACTTAAAGATGTTTCTTGGTTCACCTAATAACCATAAGCAAATACCCCCCCGCCCCATTCAGGACTTCCTCCCTTGTGTGATTCAAGCAGTTTTCCTACACTTAAAAGTCTGATTCTTGTGGTTATTTCTCCTTCAATGTGGTCGTGTCCGCACCAAAACTCTTATACTCTGTAATTATTTGTGGATTAGGTGAATTTATTTCCTCACCCTGCAGTCTTTACTACCATGTTGGAAAGCACACGCAAAATCTATTTGCAGTAAAGTAGAAAGCACTCATTGTTCTACAAGACTTTGTTGAACAATCAGAGTCTCTGTTTAGGCCCATCGCATTAGGAGTCTACCCAGGGCTCGCTCCTAGGCCCCTTTTAAGTTTTTTCTTTTTTTTTCTGCCCACAAACTTTCTGTCAGTTGTGTAATTCTACCAACTGCCTCCAAAAGCTGACTGCAAAAAATAAGACATTTATTTTATTTAAAGTTTCTTTTCTTTTTTTTGAGTCTACTTTGTGGTAGACCACATTTTGTCTGCAGGTCATCGCATTGCAGGCCAGTAAACGAAGTGTCAAAGAAGGGGGCTGTTTTCATTTCACAGACGTTTAACCATGGTATTGTTCAGTGTAAGTATTTTAACATGTTGTGTGTACTATTCCAGGAGGAAAGACAATGTGGTTCCTTTTATATGTGCAATATTGAGACCAGAGAAGGCTTTTCAAGGATTTTACATAAGCTTTATAAAGCTCCAAACGTGTTCATCCCTATGCATTTTGAATTCCTTATTAATGTGTGCATTGATATTAATGTGTATTTTTGAATGTGTAATATGAAAGTTCTATTCTCTGTACAGTATTTTTGTATGAACACTAAACCTTGCTGTTTCCACAGCGTATTTGAAGCACAGTGGCAAAAGAGAACCGATAATCAAATATATTCTGGTTTGGCTAGACTGGTTTGGTGTGAAGACCCATTCTTAATCGATATGGGAATGTGCTAATGATATCCTTTTCTAAAAACAACTGAATAAAAGAGGTAAAATGCACCACTCTGAGTCGAATTCAGTGTTTGATCATGTTAAATGCAAATTTGTGCGAGGCCACTGATTCTTGAGATATATCCTTTAGATCAAGGATAGATCAAGCAGGCGTCACACTTCACGGTGAAGTCATCATGTCCAAGTAGAGCAGAGGTAAGGGCTAAAATGTACTGTGCTCTCTCCCACAGGACCTGATTTAACCCCTGAGTCTCTGTGAGTCATTGACTGGTGACGTTATTCTACTGGTGAGTTAAGCAGCTAGTGCTTTTGAGATGCTGTTCTGTTTTATACTTTTCTTCTCTAAATGTGCTTTTCAATACCTGAGAAATGGAGAGGGCTATTTTTGAAAGTGAATTGTGGGTGGTGAGCTGTACAACACAAGCACACAGGATCACTTTTGCTCACTATGTGTATTATACAACCCCCTTCTATGAGGTCTAAAGCTAATTTTGTGGCACTTGTGTTGCATAACCAAAACTGTTTTTCAGTGCCCCTTTAGCCAATTGTCAAATATCCAGTATCCAGACTTGTACATGTACATATATGAGAAAAATGCTCATATTTGAGAAATACTGACAGCACTTATGTTGATGTTATACCATACAGAACGTACTTGAGCAGCATGCTGTTGCTATGGTTACGTCCTCAGGCCAACATGACTCCAGTTCAGGAGTGTCTCTGTGATGCCGGGTAAAAATAAGTATTCTGACTTTTGCATTGACTTTCGTGGATGATCTATATTTGTAATTTTATTTTCAGATTTAAACAGATTAGATGGATGGATGGATGGATATAGACAGATATAGATGGATAGATATGTGGATGGATGATAGATATAGATGGATAGATATTCAGATGGATACATATTTGAATTGATGAATGGATATAGACAGATAGATATAGATAGATATAGATGGACAGATATATGGGTAGATAGATGGATGATACAGACAGATAGATATAGAGGGGTAGATATACGGATGGGGATGGATGGATGGATATATATAGATTGATAGATATTCAGATGGATGGATGGATATAGATAGATATAGATGGATAGATGTTCGGATGGATAAATATTTAGATGATAGATCAATATTTGGATGAATGGATAAATATTCAGATATTTGGATGGATTGATAGATATTCAGATGGATACATATTCAGACTGATAGATATTCGGATGGACAGATATTCAGATTGATAAAAGAGATATTTGGATGAATAGATACGCAGATAGATGTTTGTATGGATAAATATTTAGATGATTGATAGATATTTGGATGATGGATGAATGCATAAATATTCAGACGTATAGATATATGGATGGATGGATAGATATTCGAATGGATGGATAGATACAGTAGATATTTAAATGGCTAGATAGTCAGATGTGTATATATACAGTATAGAGGGATGGATGAATGGATAGATAATATTCAGACAGATACATAGAGAGTGATAGATAGATACAGTCTATTTCTGCTAATTGGAGGCAGATCCTGAGGAATGTGAATGTAGCTGGATTCTTTCTGCAGTGTTTTTACCAAATATAGCATCGTGGCAGATGAGTTTGAGGCATTTTTGTGGGTGTTGATGTTCTGGCATTTTAACAGGATTGTCAAAGGATGCTAATCCTGTTTAACATGATGAAAACGATAAAAAAAAGAGTCATTTTAGAGGAATGATGAGTCATGAGGTGAAACATAACTGAAATGACGCTGTCCAGAAAAGCCCAGATGAATGTTTTTGTCATCTTGAGATCATTTGTTCCTCTAAGAACAAACAGTGCCATAACAATTAATCATTCCTTCCATTCACCAGCAGTATGCCTATGTAAGTGCGTTTCTTTTTGTTTATAGCTCACAGTAAGCAGCCACAAATGCAATATTTACCATGTCAAAGATGCTGAGGTCAGGAAAAAAACACACATGGAGAGTTTATACTCAACATTTAAGCCAAACAAAACATTACGTCATTTTATATAACCAAACACTGAATAAATAGTACAATGGTAAAATTATATTTTACATATTCTGAATGTTCAATGTTAAATGTTCACCACAAACAGAAGGGTTTTAAAAGATAAATGTTTATTAAGAGATAAAAACGTTTTTCCATTTTTCTTTTTTCTCTTTTTTTTTTGGGGGGGGGGGGTAGTATACAGTAAAATCTTTATCTATACACTTGCTTTTTTTACTTACAGATATCCTCAAAATAAAACATTTCTGATCATTACTTTAAAAAGGTTCTCTCTTGCATAAACTGCCCCCTTTAGCTGTTCTTTAAAAATGGAAGGGTTTCAAAAACGCGCAACAGCGGGAAACCAGTCTCTGTTATTAAAACACACCCTGAGAATGCACATTAATCTCTGTATTAAAAAAAAATTTGTGCCTCTCTCAACATTTACATTTCTGTAATGAAGCATCCCAAAGGTAGCAAGGTAGAAGCTGTTGAGATCAACTGAGCATCTCCCTTTGCGATTGGCTACAGTTTTAACTTGGCCAAGTCAAAAAAAAATCATATTAAATCCAATAAATTTAATCCATAACATTGGCATGATCCTTAGAATTAAGCTTTACGTTCTAAATAAAAAAGTATAAATTGTCACAGTAAGTAGATCTGCATTGAGTTTTTGGTGTTAATTCGGCATACCATGTACGGCAGCTTAAATTGGCCCCTGTTCATTGTTTCTGACATATTACAACAGCTTAAAAATCATACATAATTCCACACTTCCATGCACCAACTTTCTGAAAGACAGGTGAAGACAGGAACAATGCATATCGTTCTACAAAGTATTGCACATTACATTTCGCAGCAAGCTTCTTTTTTTTTTTTTTTGTCGATTAAAAGTTGTGGATGAGATCTATTGGTAACTGCTGAACAGAATAGTCAAATACAGTGATGTTTCTGAATACAAAAGGCAAATGTGATTGGAAAAAAAAAAACAGATTTGAGACAAAATGTATGAAACTACCCTGAATCTATGTGGTTTTTAAATATTGCCAGGCAGCTTCACATTCCGACATCCCAAAATAAGAATGTGTTTGGTGACTATGAATCAATGTGGGCGACTTAAGAAATAGCACAGTGAATATACTTTCAAGCCCAGATTTACTAAGCTCAAACTCTAAATTTGTGGGGTGGGGTTTCGCAAATAGAATGGACATGCCTGCTGTATTTGCTACAAAAGCTACACTGTGAATGCATTTTTAGAAGAGGGAAGAGACTGATAAGAATTAGTGTGATGCATAATTCCGAAGTGACGCACCATTTCCAACTCACGACATTGGAAAGTTTACAAAACAGTTAGACTTAAAGGGAGAGTTCACGCAAAACTAAAAGTTTTTTTTACTCACTCTCACGATGTTTCTTTCTGCTGAGGAACATGTTTTTTTTTCATTTTTTTTTTTTATACAATGAGGGTACGTTTACACAAAAACAATTTATTAAAAACTGAAGAGTTTTTCTTTTGCGTTTTTCATGAACGAACGACAGCATTGTCTAAACAATCCCCATTCACACGGATCTGCAAAAACTAGTAAAAATGCTGTTATTATGCATGCCAGGCCAGTAGTTGGCGATGTCACTTTGTAAAGAAACACTATGCGCTTACAGACTGAAGACGTAATATGCATACGCATAACGTCACTGTTTTCACAAATTCGTGTTTTTATAGTTTACACCGAGATGATAATGCTATTGTTATCAAAAACTTGAGCTTTGAAACCCGTTTTTAAAAGTTTGCATTTTCCAGCCCCCAAAATGCAATTGTCGTGTCAATGAATGCCAAAACGCATACATTTTTTTTATTTTTAGTTGAAAACAGTGTGTTGTAAACGGCCCCTGAAAGTCAATGTTTTGCACCCCATTGAATGGACAAAAACTGTTAAATCATTCTATGTTCCACAGAAAAAAAGAAAGTCATACAGGTTTGGAACGAATTGAGGGTGAGTAAATTATGACTTTTTTTTGTAAACTATCCATTTAAATGGTGCAACAATATGGAGAATGTAGTGTCCTTAGTGGTATAGTGCATTGAAAACAAGCAGTGCTAACGGCTCGATTCTTCCGGACAGCACAATCTCCAGTCTAAACAGTTTGTCGGGACACCCTTAAAGCTCTACAATAATGCATAATGACTTCTATCCCTAAAAAGATGAGCCTTTCATGTTGGCGAGGATGAGGGTGTTTTGTTTTTTTTAATCTTTGTACACCAACGTTACTTTTCGTGATTCACGTTTACGGAGCCCTTTGTGTTTTTTCCCTTGATTCTCGATTCGCTAAAAAATAAACAACATTTTTTATTTTGATATGTACAAGATAAAAGTTACAAAAATAGAACGGTCATGGTTCTACGTTCAGGATACTGCCATTTACGATCTGTTCTCATTCTAATAACAGCGACAATAATAGTAATATAATAGTAGTATGATAAAAATATTAAAAATACAGACAGAAAAATGTAACTTTCTCTGTAGAAAAACAAAACAAAACAAGGACTCCTAGTGCAGATGCGTAGCAATGTAAACCTGGTCCTACGACTATGTCAAAAGTTACAGAGTATATTGTTAATACATGTATTATATAGAATCACATATATATAATGGAAAAGCAGGTCATTGAATCCTCTCACAGAGAGCGTTCACATCATAGTTTCTACGATGGTGTGGGTGGGCTTCATCGAGCCTCCGTTCCAGTTGGGGTCCAGCGGCTGCGCCAGCTCGTTGCATTTGGGCTGGTACTCCTGAGGGCAAGAACTGGCTCCTCCCCTCACGGGTGCCGCCACCGCTTTGATCCTCTGGAGGGAAACGTATAGCGATGTTATAGGCCTGTTCATTGGTGAAAAACCTTTTTGTCATTGGCACGACTGACTCACCTCTATGAGGGGTCCATCTGATTGAATGATTTTGATCACAACCACCATTGGTATGCAGATCATGGACGTGAGGGCGAGGGTCCAGCCGACTCCAATGGACCAATCCGGGTACTCGTAGACTTTGTTGTATCTCAAGGGTGTGTACTTGACCAATGAGAAGACAAAGCATCCCTGCAGCAGAAGACAAAGCAGGGGTATCAACAGCACACTCAATCCAACCTCCAATACATGAGTGCAATCGCCCATTACTGTGATGTTGCTCTCGGACTAATCAAAATGACAGATAAATGAAAAACTCTTTTAAGG